TTATTTGCATCAATTATCTGTCTTTCCTTTAGCAGAGGTCTTTTCTCTGCTATCAAAATTCAGGATAGGATATCTAAGTGATAGATTCCAAAATGTCAGAAATTGAGTAGCTTCCAAAGTTGGACACAAGCCACTGTCAAAATGTATTTTGCAGTTAAAGATGATTAAGATCAATTTATGGATCCTACTGTGAGCAAATGAAACAAGATCGGAATATTGATGGTGATGTCTGCTTTTTCATAAAGCTGTGCCCAAGTTTGGCTGCTGTTCCACAGTTGCTTTCTGTGATGGAAGAGCTTATCAAACCAAATCTAAGGTCATCAGGAGAAATGCCATTGCTCTGATATTAGCGGGGACAGTCACAGTGGTTTTTAAACAAAGAGAAAGTTCTCTGAGTGAATCAACTGATAACAGATAGGACATTACTCACAATTTACACTTGGCAATTGAACTGGTTTTTCATACACTGTATATTTGACTCACTTGTCTTTGCTTGCGTCCTGACTAAATTCAGAGCACAGGACATATTTTTAGATAAGAACTCATCCTGTGACTTTGCTGCACTGTCCTTCCAATTCAAGACTGGTCTTACCAGGGGAAGAACATATACTGTTTATGACTCGTGACCCTATGCCTGCTGCACAGCAAAAGTAGTGGTAGATGTGCATTTATGCCTGTAAATGAATGAGTAGAGCCTGGTTAATCCTAAGAATATGTTGTTGAGCCTTAATGATGTAGATTTTGTTTTTAAACATATCTCTCCTGTTCTTGCTCTGTTAGAGCATTGATAATGACACAGCTACTTCACTTGGGATCACATACACTCTCCAATGCTCAGCACTTGCTATATGCATTTGTACTCATAGCAGCTAGGTAAGAAATACTACTATTTGAATCTAGCCCTGTATATTGCTCTCACTACAGGTATTTGAGGCTATCAGGTCACACACTGGGTTTTTGTCACTCAGTGTATGTCCTCAACCTACTCCCATTAATGTATAAGATTTGCCTTCTGTTGGATCAAAAGGCTTTGCTTGAAATAGTAGCACCAGAGATGGCCTCTAATTTATGAAACATCCACCAAGCTACAGGAATGTACTTCACCCATATTTGGGGATGTCATTAATTTCTTTGTTGCTAGTTGTCTCTCCTCTCTTAATTAAAGTGTTTGTTATATATGTCACATCTTAGGTTTTATACACAAGCAGGTGTTAAAAAGATTGATTCAAGCTTTTACTCTTCCATCTTTTACCCAGTTCCTGCTTTTGATCCATATATCCAAGTGGAGTCTGAATTTTTCTTGTTCCATGTGCTCATTTTTTGTTACTAATCTGCCCCCCTTTCACATGCTACCAATACTTTAGTCCCAAAACTGCAGTTCTCTGAGGTTCACTTAACGATCTGTTACTGCTATCCTATGATTCACTGCTGTGATGTGTTCATCCCCACATTGGTTCTCACTCTTCAAATATAATTATTGAGGAGGAGCTTTTAAAGGCTGCCCATTTTCTCTCTGCCACATGTGATTGTGTTTGTTCACACCTCCCTGCAGTCATGTCGCTCTGCCACCACCAGCATCTTCCTTATCTATGCTCATTGATATCTTAACCTGTTATGACTCTCTTACTGCTTTCAGTCAAAAACCTAGAACAACCTACCATTGCCATTTCATGTCCCTCAGCTCTCTCTTAAAATCTTTAATGTACCATAATGGACAGCAGAAAATATTACTTATCTATCTACTAGACAGGTGCTTTGACGCTACAGACAGCACATTCATCTTCCCTCACCAGCTAGAATCATGTTCTGGGTTCTGCTAAAGCCATGAAGAAGTAATTGTGATAATTAGTATTTGGAAAGGTCTCTTTTAGACATGCGTAAGAGAATGGTGGAATGAATTATAATCCACAGCACTGTCTATTGATCGTTATGGTTACAGCTAACTTAAGCTAAATACGTAGCTTTTGAGGTTTGAAGCAGCACCTGTTACAACTCATCTTCAGCTCAATGCCTTGTCTATGTGTTCTGCACACCCAAATTTTTTTTTAGGGGCTCTCTCTGGAGTGTGTTCCCACTCATTGTTCTTTTCAGACCTGCTGAAGTCAAGGGAGTTGGTGTGAAGGGGAAAGCCATGGGGTGCTTTCCCATCAATATGCCTATGAATCAGGGATGAGGTCCATCTCTGCTGTCTGGGCAGAGGGGCTGAGAGGAAGGCACTCTGGTATAGTTGCTACCATGAAGCTGTGCTGGCCTCTGGATTAGCTCCTGTCCGCCACCTTGGTGGAAGCAGGACATGTAGTACTTGGCAATTAGCTCTTTGTAAACAAGCAGGGTCATTTCATCCACTGCTTAAAAAAAAAAATCATGCCACATCACTAAAGGGAAATGTTGTCGGCAACAGGGAAATGAGCTTTCGTAAGACAAGCAGAGAATATAACAATCTACTTCCACACATACAAAAGGATAAACACAACACAAAGTGGAGCAAAAGAGGACCTGCAACTTTCTGATACACAGTTATTACTCCAGGTCACTCTGTCTAACCCAGAACAGCTAAATGGCAAATACAACAACTGCATGAAAACCTGCTGGGTATATTTATTTGACTCCACATCACTGCATCTCATCAACCATGAATTTAAAGTAAGCACAATTTATTGGTTTTCTCTTAAGATCGAAGGATGCTGACCTCATTGGTCAAGAAAAAGAAGCAAAATCAGTTCATGCCTTAGCTCCAGATGAAGGGATAAAAATAATTTGAGAGTGGCTTTTCAAGAATTCCATTGCAACATTTTATACACATTATGCATTTCTTCCACAAACCAAAGGATAATTTAGTAGTCAGAGAAAGACAATCTTTGCAAAATGAAGATCAGCAAAATGAAAAACAGTCCTGAGGCTGTTGAAAACAATAATTTAATGTCCTGCCATTTATTAAAGAATAGAAAGATCCCAAAGCTGATAGAAAGGATTTCTTCTGTTATGCATTTTTTCAAGTAGGGCACATATAGTATCACTTGTGCTCAAAAGATTTCTGGACAAAACCAAACTCTTGCATTTGACTGGAATTGTCAACAGGCAGCAAACAATGCAGTTTGATCAATAATGTGAATATATAAATGCAGAGACATATACAAACCTAATCTATAAATATGTGCACACATTTATCTCTGAAATCCAGAATAAATCCCATCTGAAGGCTTGTAATTTATTTTTACAGAGGGAATGAATCACAAAAAGTAAGCTCATGCGTAGAATATGATATTTGCAAAGAACATGAAAGCTGCAGTCCTTATCTAGCTAAACACTTACAGATATACTTAAATGCCACATGAAATGGGATCTTCTATAAGGATCAGCATAGACAAGGAAGTTTTTTGCCAACTTTTGAAATGATAGGTGGAGTTTTCTCACAAGAAAATTTTTAAGTGGTAAATGTATATAAACAAAATAACAATGAATGAATGGCTTTAAAATCCAGTTCTGGTTTTCTATGTACTCCAACATGAAGCTGGTTTCCATTTTAAATATTTCTATCTCCATCAATAATTTTAATGCAGAATTCATAATGCTAAACTCCTACTGGATTTCACAGAGCCCTGTTCTATTCAACCTCAGATATTACCAAGCTTTTGCTAATTAAATCCATCACTATTTTGTACTTGTGGAGGTGGAATCCTGTTTCCACAATTTCAGAACAGTTCATCTTTTCAGACTCTCCTTGCCTGCTCCCATTTCTCTTATTCTTTCATAAGTATCACAGTCACCACTTAGTTCACTGTCCAAAGTACTCGTGTGGGTATCTACAGGCACACAGCCATCTGAGTAGTTTTTAAGTTCAGTTCTCTCTCCTAGACAATGCTTTTCAACCGTGTGAAATGGAGACCTGAGAAGTAGATAAAGGTCACTAGGGAGATTTCCTGTTCAGATTTCAAAATCTGAGGAAAAGGATTGCTTAGGCTGGGCCTCATTTCATGAGATTGTGCCAAGCCAAGATGGGCTCTGTGCACATTTTCACCTAATAATCATGATCCTGAAGCACTGTTATCACACTTATTGAAAGATGAGAGACATGCATGATCTGACCAGCAAATCAGCAATGTTACTGATAAGCTGATCTTGCCTGCTCTTTTTTGTTTTTTTCACTGTGATTTTATCATACTTTCTGCTACAGGAAAAGCCATTTCAGTAATAAATCAGAATAAATAAAATTCTTTGGGGATGATTTAGGTATAACAAAATTCAGTCTTGTTCTGATGCAGGAAGCATGCATAAGACAATCCAGTACAGATCCCTTCAAACAAGTGAGAGCAAGATTTATGCATCAGGTTTTGAGGGCTCATGTCTTGAGATATTAAAGGATGATCTTCTCCACAGTTTAGAAATTACTTTTTTTACATGACAGCAAGAGCTATCCCTGAAATTTCAATCTTCATTCCAAAAATTGCCCTTACTGAGTGTATACAGTACACTGGAAAAAGTCATGAATATATTTGAAATCCAAGTTGCAGATGAAAAACAAGATCCTATCTGTTCATAGCTATTAAAGAGAGCATCGTGATGTTTTTCAGAGGCAGATAACTATCTTTGATATCCTATGAGTAATTATATTCCATCCACCTGGCTTCTCTGTGGGGCTTCAAATTAAAACAATACTTAATCTCCCCTAAATTGTGAGACAGTATGTCTGAGTTCCAGCTAGGAGATTTTACTTTTCTGTTAGTAGAGGAACTAATTACCATTATCCCCAGTGCCTGCATAATCTGAAGCTAAAATATTTCTTTTTCTCCTGTATTTGCACCTTCTGGGTCTCAGAAGGAAATCATATTTCTTAACTTGAAAAAAGTCTTTCAAGTCCTATCATGCTGATATTCTTCTCTTTCTCTTTTCCCTCACCTCTAGTTTTCAGCCAGAGCTTTCTAAATATTTTAGTATTTATCTGGAGTACTAAGACTTTTTAAAAGCTTGAGTGCTAACAAAATGGCTTTCTTTATGTACAGGAGGAGCTGTTGACTCCCGTGAGGGTGGAGAAGCCTTGCAGAGAGATCTTGAGAAATTAAAGGACTGAGCAGTCACCAACTGCATGAAGTTCAGCAAGAGCAAGTGCCAGATTCTGCATCTGGAATGGGACAGTTCTGGCTATATGTGCAGACTGGGGGACAAGAGGCTGGAGAGCAACCACGCAGAAAGCGACCTGTGGTTTTGGCAGATGGCAGAGTTGAATGTGAGTCAGCAGTGTGTCCTGTCATCCCAAAGAGCCAACCGTACCCTGGAAAGGGTCAGGGTAGTGATCAAGTTGTCAGAAGCATGCTTTCTCCCTTACAAGAATTAATGTCCCTCTGTATCAGATAGATATCAGTGATGCAAACAGGGAAAAACCTGTCTTAACCAGATAACCCTGATATCTCTGTCTCCATACCCAAAGTTCAGAGGGATTGAAGTTATCAGATATCCAAGTAACTCTTAACAATGAGAAGCAGACGTACCAAACACTCTAGCCAAGACCACAAGCCAAACTAATTTATGCCTCTCTTGAAGATGTAGAGATCATGTGGACAAGTATGTATCATCTCTTCACTCATTTGGCCTGATCAAAGTTGAGATAAAGTCCAAATAACTTTGTCCTCTTTCAATTAATTAAAAACTTCCAATCTGAAGTTTTCTCTTCGAAAACAGGATAACCTAGGGAGCTCTGTTTTGGTTACCCATGTTTCCAAATTAACAGAAAATAGACTTTTGGCAACATGAATAATGTGTTTTTGTCCCAGAAGACATTGCTCTGGCATTTTGTTGACAAAAACTTCCCTATGTAGTTTTGAGACTGCTAGCAATTGCATTGCAGTACCAGGATAAGAGTTGTCTTTCAGTCAGTCATTTTTCTGCTAACCTAGTGCCTCTCTGAGAGCACAGGTTTTTTTCTCTTCTATTGCAAATTGTTGAACCTTAAAAAATTAATTGCGTATACACTAGTGATCACTTCCATAGATAGAGCCTGAGGCAAAATACACAGATGAAAAAATATGGAATTTCCTCTGACATTTTCTGGCTAATGCTATCCATGAAATTACAAATAAAATCACCAGGGCCAGTTGCTCATTTTATATGTGCCCTTCCAATCAAATCAGATATTAAAGTCTCCTTCCACCAAAGTTTTCTCAGTTCAGACAAAATTTCTGCAGAGCAGAGTTATTCAGATAATACTAATATTTTAGTCCACATTTGTTTCTAACAATCTACATACAGGTAATTTCTGTATTATTTTTTTTTTTTGCTGCTGAACCAACTCTACATTTTGTTCGCCAGCCTTTGTTTGCTATATATTCATCCTTAGAAGGTGGTGTAGAGACTTCTACAAATGTGGTGGTACAGGCTCAAGCATTGTATGCTACAGGAATCCCCTAAGGTGTAGAATTGGTGCAGAAAGCTCTGACACAATTCAAAAAGAAAGGAACATGGAAACAAGCAAAAATAACATTTAACTCCAGTAGACCTCAGCGTCTGAAACTTCTCATTTGTAATGAAATAGTTCTCCTTAAGAACAATCCAAAAATCAGGTGGGGAAACCTAGAGCTGATATCTGACCTGTCAGCACTGCTTACCAAATTCAAGTCTCAACCAGCCCAATACTGAATAGGGCTAAATCTTAACTCTAGACATCTTACCCTGCCAGGACCTAGCCTAATACCTTGAAATATAACATTCAGTTATTCACCTTGCATAATACTGGATTCATAACAGATAGTAAGGGATCTAAGTCTTTAGATATATATTTTTTTCTAAAGCCATATATTGATCATCAATACTGATGGTATGAAGGCTCACTGGAAGAAAAGGATTCCATGTGAAGGAAAAATATCTTAATCCTTCCGTAGCAGAGTTGCATTGATATCTCACTGTTCCCCACTAAAATAATATTCACTGAAATCCTGAGAGTAAAGGTCTTTATGAAATGCTTATTGAGAAAGCACATATCCTGCCTGTAAATTTCTGAAATAAAATGAGTAGGCTGGTTAAAAGCATTTTGAAAATAAATATGAAAAGTTAACCTCATATGACACATTTGAGCTGTTCCCGTGTTATTCCAGTTGAAATAATTTATAAAACAAGTATTTGCAATGGGAGAATGCAGCATGATATGAACTCATGTGAATGCATTGTAACAGTCAAGTATTTAATCACTTTTCAATTCTTATTAAATGAAAACATTTTCCAGTATTGTCTGAACTGTGCTCACTGTAGTCAATGGGTGTTCAACTCCTTTACACAAGAGAATTGAGTTCACCACCCTGCATAATAAAGACTTAACCGTATTTTAAACTATAACTCAGCAGGTGATTGAATATTATCTGCTTTACAGAAAAAAATACAGCTAAAATGGGCTCTTCAACTGTAAATAATTCTGTCATAAAGGAGAAAGCTAATGTTTTTCTTGGGTAACAATCTCAGCTCTGCTGCGTGGTGCACTGATTCTGCCTAGTCAGTTCTTGATGTCGTATCATCAGCTACTCCAAAAAGGGAATGTTAGCAGGGCCTTTGCGAAAGCCACCTTCGCTAAAATGAGCATGGAAAGTCACGTAAAGAGTTTGGAGTAGGACATTCCCTGACTGCATTTTCTTTTCCCTAGCACAGTGAGAAGGAAGATGTTATCTACAAACAGCTCTTCCTTCCTTCTCTTCCCAGGCTCCCAAAGCTAATCTCTACGGTCTGAATGTCCTGGAAATGCTCTCACTGGCTTTTGCAGACTACGGTTCATATTTATTACACAAAACTAAGGTTTAAAATCATGTTTTCTTTTTAGAATATCCAAAATGTAAAAACAAACTTTGGACATCAAAATAATCCTTTTCTCCATAAACATTCAGATCAATCATTAGAACACCAGCAGGTTCTGAAAGATGCCACCATGACAGATTTTTCTCCCTCAATACTGCTTTCATGATCACATATATTTTCACTTGGGTCATCACTGTATTTGAGTTTTCAATAGTGTGTAGTCCAGCTACCTCATTTTGAATGTTAATTTCCTGAAAATGATTGAAAACCATATTTTTAATGTGGCAGGTGCTTGGCTATGACATGATCCTTTTATCATTATTGCCATTGGCACACAACGTGTGATCCAGGAAAATGTCTTTTTCCCATGGCTATCAGCCCAGCACTGGCTTTGTTAACTAACTAGTTTCACCTAGCCAGATTCTGAATGTTTGCAATCATTTATTTGTGTTGCTACATATTGCCTTCCATCATTTTGTAAAGCACCTCTTCAGCAATGACAACTTCCTCTTGTCAGCACTTCGGTCTGTAAGTAGCCCACTCCATGAAGTGTTATATCCCAGTGATACTTCCCCAAAACCCTTCAAGAAGCTCATCAAATAACCTGGGAAATCTCTCTGCTGTCTTTTATCTGAAGCACGGTATGCAGCTGTCCCAGGCAGGGGTAACAGTTCTGTTTTAGAGAGTTGAATTAGTTTTTCATAGCATGTTGACAACTTTTCAGCAGGAAGCCTGAATCTTTGTACCACTGAGTAGTACAGATGTGCCCCATGGAGTCCAGTGTGATTTCATCATGACATAAAGCTTGGATTAAAGCACCTAACCAGCTGAAATGCAGCCACAATGATCATGGAGGTGGAAGAAGGCTCTGTTTAAACACTCTTTATAAACATTCTCCCTGTCCGTTAGAAATTTTGAAATTATGTCTGTGAGTCTTTTTCTCATAGGTGAGGGGTGAAAAAGTATTCGCTTAGCATCTTTCTCTTCTTTTTCTGGATCACCTCTCTTCCCATTTCCCCAAGATTTCTTACTTATTTCTAATAGGCAGCTGCAATTAAAGCCCTTTAGAATAATCTGCTTTCATACCAGTTGACTGTAAGCTTCAGAACTTCTCATTTTTGTTCTGAAGGACATGCAATTTTTCTAACAGTTTGAGTACTTTTGATCTGTGCAGCTTTTAAAGGGCAATCAGGAAGACTGATCATTCCCACTTAATTGCAGAGAGAGAAAGGAAGAAGGGAAGCTGAGTTTTAACAGTGGAGAAACACCTTGATGTGTAGATAGACTTCAATTATGATAACACAGAAGATTTGGAGTCTGATTAGGCAAACTGATCCTGCACAAGAGACTCTACTGAGTCCAGAGCAGTTATTAATGTATAGGCAAAGTCTTATTCTTCAGTGATGATGTCTTTGGACACTATTTTATTTAAAAAAAAAAAAAAAAAAAAAAAAAAAAAGGCAGACATTCCAAGATATGCTTCAGGCTCTCCCCAGAGTTGGGATCCCCACAGCTGGAGACAACTTTTGAGAACATGCCCATCCGTAGAAGACCATAAGTCCACATGCTGCAGAATGGCCACTAGTTTTATCCTGAGCTGTGCTCATCCAGTATAAACACGCCAGAGTCACAGTCTGGTGTGCCTTCTCTGCTTTCTCTGTGCTAGGACAAGGGATACTTTGTGGTCAGTTGCCACATTACCTTCTGGGAGGGCTTTCTATTCAAAAGCAGCAGCATGGTCTAGGAATAAGATGGTCAGAACTTAGGATTTCTTTGTCATCTTTTCAGGTTTGCTATCCAGAATGAGTGATTACTGTTTTAAGAGATATCAGTGCTTACCTCTCTACTTTGACTTCTGCTTTATCAGGTATGTGAAATGGCTTCTCCGGACAGGTGAGGCTGTGTTTAAAGGCAAGAAACTCCAACAACTAAAACATCTTCAGTCATGTTTGGATTCATGCTGCAGGCCCACTTTCCTCCAGCTTCTCGAGACTATCACAGAAGTCTGTACATTCTTGAAATGATTCTTGCACTGAAGTATAAGTATCGCTGGCGTGTATTTAATGAACAAATAGCCAGTGTGATAGGAGCCTGATCACCAGTGTGGAGTTCCTGTCCAAAAAGAATAGGTTATTATTTTCTTGTATGAATGTATTGATCTGACACAGTAGAGAGCTGTGGAAAAGGTCAACAAGGACCACACCATAAATCTTGATGAGCTCCTGTATGCACACCCTCAAAAAGAAAAATGTGAACCATTATCTTAGAAGAATCTGCAGAACATGTAAGAAAATGAAAGGTCTTCATGGAGGCCAGAGCATAGAGGAGGAAAGGAGGGGAAAAGGAAGAAAAGAAAAGCAAGAAGGGAGAAGGAAAAAGAGCTTCTGAAGGGAATTTTCTCTAAAATGCTGTAATGGAAATGCTGAGTCACAGCTTGAACCAGTAATTGAGCACCTGGTAGGAAGACAGGGCCAACCCAAGGGCGCTTTGATGCATGCAGTGCACCTGAGTGACTGGAAGGCTTGGATCCAGGATCCGCCTCTTCCCAGTCTTCGTTTAAGGGTTAGCAATGGAGGTAAGGGCATCCATCTGGGAATCTCTGCTTATCTGTGGGTCTTATAGGCCTTCTGAAGGTAAGTACCTTCTTTCTCTTATTTCTACATTCACTGCTGTTGTGTTTGTGTAGATCTTCACTTGCTGTGGCCTAGGATCTTGCTTCTCTGCTGTAATCATTATGCTTTCCATTGTGTTACAAATGCCATGGGATAAATGATTTGAACTAATGGTACTGGTCTTACTGGCCCAATTGTAGGAGTTAGTGGCAGCTTAACACACTCAGGATCCCATTACTACATTTAAAAGATGAAGTAGAACAAAACTTCTACTTGATAAAAGCCTCTGTGGGTTATTTAGATTGTTCATATAATGCTTTTGCCTTGTAGTTTTAAGATCTATAGCCAAGGAGACTATGGAGAACATTTGGACAGCCAACAGAAAGATTTCCTTCCATTGGCTTTGGATTCTTGTAGAAGCCTATGAGCTGGATCTGAAAAACATGAGAGGACCAACTGTGTACAAAGATCTCTGTAACCTGTTGCTTATGCTGCTCAGTAAGAGACTGCCAAATAAGCCAACAGGGAGCTATATGTATGCCTGATGCAGTCTTCCGCAGCAGCAGGTCTGATTCATTTTTCTGTCCTTTCCTCTTACTCCTGGTGCCTCCAACTTGTCTGAATATGCATTGACACAACCACTTCTGGACTGTAAGGATTACTTATGTCCATTGGACAGTAACAGCACTGACTTCTGTAGCAACAGTCTGTTCCAGCCATGCTGTGCTGTATATTAAAGACTTTCAGAATTACACACTATGAATAAAACAAATAAGAATAGAGTGGAAAGCAGATCTGGAAAACCTACATATCCTCAGCAATTGGCAATCCTGAAAACTGAATTTTTCTGCTTTTTTTTTTTTTTTTTTTTTTTTTTTTTTAATGTTTCTTTAGAGCTTAAAATATCCTTGTGCAAATAAAATAATTATCCAGAAGACTGTATCATTGTCAAGTTGCTACAAAATGGAACTGTAGCTAATCAAGGCCTTGGGTTAGATTTTTAGCTTGAACTCGCTCCAACGGAACTCTATGCTTTTCTTTTAAAGAAATTCCCCTTGTGTGTCTAAGCATGGAAGAGGAGGGAAACTGCTTATCTTCTCTGCAGTTTGGAGTTTGGCTAAATGTGTTTGTGACCTGCAGATGACCACTATCTCTTGCAGCATTTTAATGATGTGACTCACTAAACTCGGCCACTTTCCTCTAGGTTTTCCTCAGTTGCTTCCTGTTAGCTTATTTTCACCTCATTTAATAACTATTAACATAATGCCGTTATTAGAAGCCAGTAGGGGTTCATTGCTACTCTCCTACAGCCACTCTTTACCCTGATGTAGTCACCTGTCTGCATAAATTGTTCTGGTTAAGAAAAAGCAATTTTCAGAATGCAGAGATTTTAACAGCCAGATTAGTAGTTGGTGTGAATGAGCTTAGCTCTGAGCCATGGTGCTTTTCCAGTAGCGATTGATTTACCCTACATGTGGACATGCTGGGATTAGAAAGTCTGCAAAGCAATTATTCTTTATTTCTTTCTACCTTTGCTCACAGCATCTTCAGAGCTGCCACCCCCTCAAACATCTGGGCACAGACTTGCAAAAAAATCAACCTTGGCCAGATGTGCTTGCTTCCCTTCAGGGGCTCAGACTCAGCCTGGCCTCACAGGAGTGGCTCTTCTTGTAGAAGCCTGAGGTGCTCCGCTGAGTCACAATAAGAGTTTCACATGGTATTAAGTACCTT